AAACTCTCACCTGTAAATCTAAAGTCAGACTACTGCACCCAAATTCATACGATAACAATTATTTTGCACAATAGACCTATGAAATACCTGAGCAGGGAAGCGCGACTCCCCAGGGCATTTTTTGTCCTCCCAGGCAGCTGGATCAATATTTGTTCCACCAAAACCAGCAGCCTAAACAGATCATTACGACAAAATTACTTCAGATGCGGACTACGAGAATCGCATAAAAGAATAGGGTTTCGAAATCGAAATCAATTGCCTCGTCCAGACAGACAAATTCGTATTAAGACTAATAGTAGCCTGTTCGTAATTCCTTGACATAAATTAACATTCAAGAACTCCTAATCCTTTTGTTTTTCATTTTCTAATGAGGAAAAATTAATACTTGTACTTAATTTTTCTTCCCATCGTCGCTAGCATAGATAGAGATTAAGACTACGGCAGAGAATTATTAAAAGTAATATTGGAATTTAATATATTTGCGAATTAATTAGAGACGACAGAGAAACAAATAAGATACCTCAAAAATTCCATGGAGTTGGTGGGTGGAGTAGTTATACAGGAAAAGAGGCAGTCCAGGAGTTATCGCCCTAACTGAATCACGATAACGTGGAGGCAAACCTGAAAACATTTAATCAAAGAAAATAAATATGAGTTATTAATTAGAGTTCAATTAGTTCCCAGTGATAAATCCTACCAAATATTTGTACATATTTCTATACTACCAATAATCAAAATCCAATTATCATAAAATCCTGAATCTATAATCTAGGATCGGTAATATTCTGAAAAGTCCTAGAAAAGTGGATTAATTAAAAAAGTAATAAAGCATGAAAAAGAAAAAGGAAAAACGAATAGGAAAATCGAGAGAGATACCAAAAAGCTGTCTTCTGAGGTTTTCCTGCATGGTATCATTGTTGCAGACGAAGATGTAGCCACCGACGGTTTCATTTCTAGGCAGAGCTTCAGATGGTGGAAGAGTCTTAAACCTCTTATCCGCAGCACCCTTACTGTTATCCTTACTCTCGTGATCGCCATTCTTCTTTGTTCCATTCTTCTTCCCAAATTTACCTACATGATCATCATCTCCTACCTTATTCCTACCTCCTTTCACATTAACATTGATGCCGCTGTTGTTGTTGTTGTTGCCGGGATAAAGTTTGGAGATAATCCCCTTGTTGAAGCCGCCATTGATTGAAGGAGTCTTTCCAGAGCTCCCACCAATAACTTGTCCGATAGGACCAAGCCCAATCCCAGTGTTTGCAGCTCCAAATTTCCATCCGTTGTTGAATGCATTGAGATCGGGGGAATTGGAGTTGAAGTTGTTGAGAGAATTGACTTCACCGCCGACTCTGATATCGAAATTCCTCCTCTCATCGGGCCTCTTAAACTCATAGGAATTACTCCAGATGGAGTCGTTGAGCGAGAGATTGGCGAAGTTGGAAGTGTGCAAACGGAGTTGATCGCTGAATTGATAAAAGGATTGCTGGTGGTTCTCCATGTTTTTGAAAATCCGAAACAAGATCTAGGTGAGGATGAATGCAGATTATGCGAAACGGAAAAGAGGAGCAGAGGAGGGGGGGGGAGGTTAGGTTGGTGGGGGGAAGAGAAAAAGGAATCAGAGAAATGGGGTATTAAATAATGAAGTCAATAGGAAATTTCGAGGAAGGAGGGGAGATTAAGGATTGCGTGTGGATTTGTCAAAGTGGAAAAATTAAGAGTGAGAAGAAATTTCTTTAGTAATTTAATTTTTTTTTTAATTAAAAAAAAAACGCGGTTTGTGTGAGGAAGAGGGGTGACGTGGCAAGTGAGTTTCTAGAGACTTCCTCCTGGGGGTTTACTTAACAGTCAAGACTTAAGACGCGTATGTCTTGGCTCTATCAACTCTTATGGATTTAGATTTTTATCAAGTATATATTTACACAATTCATTCTCTCTAAAAGATTTAAAAAATATATTATTATTCACTAATGCAAATGGTATCCTTATTTTTAAAATATTTTAGTTTTTACGTATTCAACAAAAATTTTATATGCTTGGGTGTGTATTTTTTAATAACTACCATACATGAAATTTACTAGTAAAATTTATTAGAGAATAAAAAATAATTATGTGGTCTTTATTGTTATAGATTCTACAGAGTTTTTAATTTTCATATCTCGTGAACGTTCTTTTTCGTATACTCATACTTAATGATTAACATAATAGTTTTTACATATATAAGATATTTATTATTTTCTTTAAATTAGTATGATTATGAGAGCGTGAGTTAATTATTGTTTAATAAAATAGAAAAAAAAAATTAAAAAAAACATAAAAATAAAACTATGTTTATTTTCTTTTTATGCTATAATGTTCTTTTATTATAAGTAGCTTTTCATAAGATCATAATTCTTACTATTTTTAATATAACTTTATTTATGAATACACGCATAATTTAAGAAAGAGAAGTTAATAAAATTTAATTACTTTTTTAATATAATTTTATTCCTTAAATAAGAATTATTTATAATAAACTTTTCTACATAATCTTGCTAAAGACGTATTTGGTTTATTAAAATAAAGAGGTTAACATTGTATGTATATCAATATGATTACATTGTTTGTTAATATTATTGTTTAATTATCTTAATGAGTTTTTATATTTATTATTCTCTTTATATTTATAACCAAAAAAAAATTCATGGACAAAAAAGTATACAAATAGAGACTATCATAATCAAAAGAAAAAAATATACTCTTAACAAAATTTTCATCATTACTCCACAACCAAAACTACGTCGTTTGGCACATCGTTGCCTCTTTCTAGTTATGAAAAAGATGTTTGTATTTTTTGTAGTCAATATCCAATGATTTTGTCCAAAAAAAAAGAAAAAGAAAATAAAGCATATATTTTTTTTCCCACTTGAATTAAAATTTAAAAGAATTTGAACAAACTAAAATGTTTCCATATGAATTTGGGTGACAATGTTTTGTTGTTATTAACTCCAATAATAATAATAAGAAAAAGAAATGAAACAATCTGAAAAGAAAAGCAATAAAGAGCCGTGAAAAACAGTTGGCACCATTAAAATGAAGCTTTAAGCTTTGTTTGTGGTAGTTAACCAAGAAAAAAATCTTCTCACTTAAATTTCAAATGTTTTGCTTCTATCGCCCACCTTTTGTTTCACTATCAATAATGGCGGATTCTACAACCAAACAAACCCTTTTCTTCATCTCCTTCTTTCTCTTCCTTTCCCCCCTTTATATCTGCATCTTTACTTACACGTTCATACTCACAGGAAACCAAAAATGGCAACCATTGCTGCTACCTCCTCTGCTGGCTTCCTGTTTGGGAATGCTGAACCTTCTCTGCCACAATACAATGGCCTAAAGCCACTTCAAAACCTGCAATTCTCTTCAACAAATACCTTCATGCTCACTTCAGGTATATTTATATACATTTATGTCAAAGCAATTTGTAAATATGAGGTATATACTTGCATGTTTATTGGGTCTAGTATTTCTGTTTCCAATTTCAAACCTAATAATCAATGTATCAGCTCCAAAACGTCGAAGAAGCATCAGGGCAATGGCTTCTCCCAACGTTTCAGCTCCCAAGAGAGAAACAGACCCCAAGAAACGAGTAGTGATAACAGGAATGGGACTTGTATCAGTTTTTGGCAGTCATGTTGATACATTTTACAATAAACTTCTTGAGGGAGAGAGCGGGATAAGCTTGATTGACAGATTTGATGCTTCGAGTTTCTCAGTCCGGTTCGGAGGTCAGATTCGTGATTTTTCTTCCAAAGGATACATTGACGGGAAGAATGATCGTCGTCTTGATGATTGCTGGAGATACTGCTTGGTTGCTGGCAGAAGAGCTCTTGATGATGCCAATCTAGGCCCAGAAGTGCTTGAGAAAGTAAGTGAAGTCATCTTTTCCTAAAAATTTCATCAAATTCTAACGGAAATACCTCAAATTTGTTATATGACGTATATATATATATGTGATTAGATGGACAGAACCAGAATAGGAGTGCTGGTAGGATCAGGAATGGGAGGGCTAACGGCATTCAGCACAGGGGTTGAATCCCTTATTTTGAGGGGATACAAGAAGATAACACCATTTTTCATTCCTTATTCTATCACCAATATGGGTTCAGCTTTGTTAGCTATAGACACAGGACTAATGGGTCCGAATTACTCCATTTCAACGGCCTGTGCAACTGCAAATTACTGCTTTTATTCGGCTGCAAATCACATCCGAAGAGGCGAAGCAGATATCATGGTAGCTGGTGGGACTGAGGCTGCAATTGTGCCAACTGGGTTGGGTGGTTTCATTGCTTGCCGAGCTTTGTCTCAGAGGAATGATGAGCCTACGAAAGCTTCGAGACCCTGGGATAAAAACCGAGATGGTTTTATTATGGGAGAAGGCTCTGGTGTTCTGGTAATTAATTAATTACATATTGAAATTTTTGCACAATCTTTTTCCGATCTGATTTCTTCAAAGTTAATTGTTGGAATGTAGATTATGGAGAGCTTGGATCATGCAATGAAAAGAGGAGCAACTATAATAGCAGAGTATTTGGGTGGTGCTATTACTTGTGATGCTCATCACATGACTGATCCAAGATCTGATGGTCTTGGAGTTTCTTCTTGCATAAGTAAGAGTTTAGAAGATGCTGGAGTTTCCCCAGAGGAGGCATGAATACCAACTCATCTATTCAGTTAATTCTTTTTGTTTTTTCCTAGTAACCAAACAGCTTCTCTCTATTCATTTGGATTTTCTGATATAAACACAGCTTAAATTAATTTACAGGTGAACTATATAAATGCTCACGCAACATCAACACTTGCAGGAGACTTAGCAGAAGTAAATGCAATCAAGAAAGTGTTTAAAGACACATCTGAAATAAAGATGAATGGAACCAAGGTAACATTAAAAGAAAAAAAAAGCCCTTTTCTTTGATTTTCGTTTCTGTTGTTTAATTTTATGATTGATTTCAGTCTATGATTGGACATGGGCTTGGAGCTGCTGGAGGATTGGAAGCCATAGCAACCATCAAAGCAATCACAACTGGTTGGCTGCATCCAACTATTAACCAAGATGTAAGTACATCTTCATATTCATTTACATTGACCAATATGTATTTTCTCTAGTAAAACATATTTAAGCTAACAGTCGAACTGCATCTTGCACACGCCGGGACTGAATCAGTATCTAATCATCATTCATTCCTAATTAGTAAAAAGTAACTAATGAACTAAATTTCTTTTGAGTAAAAATTCAACCATTTTATTAATTAAGTAGTACGTGTGCATTAATGATAATAGAACCTTCTAATTATGATATACATTATAGGACGTAATAACGAGGATACATATTATACAACTTGCTAAAGATGATGCACGACTCAAATACACATCCTAATAGATATTCCTATATATAACTTCACTTTTGCCTCGTAGAATTTGGAGTCTGATGTTACAATGGACACCATTCCAAATGTGAAGAAAAAGCACCAAGTTAACATTGGTAAGTCTTCTGCAAAACCAAAATTATTATCTTCTTCTTGCAGCCCATTTTGATTCACTAATGAAATTCTCCCTTTACTTTTCTGCAGCCATTTTTAATTCATTTGGGTTTGGAGGACACAACTCGGTGGTTGTCTTTGCACCCTTTAAACCCTAAACTCCATCCAAGTTCTCCCACCCACTAAAGTAAATTATTGATTTGGGTAAAAGTTAGAATTTGCCTAATTCATTGTAGAGGTAAATTGTGTACCGCAATCATTTCGCCTCATGATCAGTTTTGAAGACAGACATTCACACAATCCCCCTCCTCTTTTTGTTTTCATCTTTACTTAAACATTGTGGTTGATGAGAATAAACTGAGCATCTATTTTTTTTTTTTTTTTCCTTGTACCCAGATCAACAAAATGTGCATTTTCTGTTGCAATGAAGTTTCCTGTTTTGGGTAAGGAGCATCGTATATTTGGAAAATAGCTTGCAGATTCCAGAGGGTTATTATATATATATTATATAGTATGCGGCCAACATTTTAAGCTTAGCGAGCCTAATATTATCTAGTATTGGGATGATATGGGCCTTCCTCCGGTTTCCTATTTTCCAATATTTGTTTCTTTTTTTTTTTCTTGTTTTTTGTTCTTTAAAAAATAGTTTCCGATATTTGAGGACTAACTACTTAATGTTTTCATCTTGTCTAAACCAAGTAGTTGGCTGAAGTTTTCCCAAAATATGAGATTAAAATTCATAATTAGTTTAGTTGGGAGAGTATAAAAAATTCTAATATATCAAAGTGATCTTTTTAAACAATTCCAAATAAAATTGGAGAAGTTTATCAAACAATTTAGTTTTTTGAATTCTATAATAATTAGCAAATGTGTTTTGATTTAAAGCATGTTGTGGCCCGAAATAAGTCTAATATTACAATATATTTTTCTTATGTAGGAAATCTCACAAAATAGACATATTAGGTTGTAAAAATTAAATTACATACATTGCATATAGAGTTGTTTGTAGGAAAATAATGATTGGTATCTAATTAAGCGAAATCAAAACACATGATAACAGTTTTAAATAAGTATCATCTCAAATCTTGTTGGGAGTGATTTTTTTATGAGTCAAGAATAAAAATTTGTAATATACATGAGAAAAACAAGGGATTTTTTTTCCCACAATTGCCTTAATGCTCAAATTAGAGGGATAAATGGAAGATACGAGTTGTTTGCCTCATGTGGAGATGATATTCATAGGTGAGTGTTGGGATATTGGCAGGTTCCTACGTATTTTTAATTCACTTAATAATATATTTTGGGCGAATACAACCTAATTTTCGTTTGAATGAATGATTGAAGTGGGGTAATGCCCTTGATAACCTTGTCTTTGAGTCTTGGTAATTTTTAATACGCATGAGAAAAAGGCCAATGTGAAATGATGTTCCTGATGATTTTGGTTTCTCTATGTCTCAAGATTATTTTACAACATCTCCTTTGTGCCTAACAAATGTTTATTTGACTTTGGTGGCGTATATGAGTTATTGTTTTAATGACTTTGACTTATTTGTGCTTTACTAAATTCTTTAAAACATCTTCACTAATAGTGATGCTCTAAATGATACTTGTGCTTCAGTTATTTTAAAACATCATTCACAAGGATATATAAAATTATTTAATTATGATGATTTTAACTTTTTTATGTTTTAATCATTTTTTTAAAATATCGTCTCAAATTATTTGATAATAAACTCTTTTTACACTAATGACATTGTCGAAGTGATATCATTAATGACTTCGATCTCTTTATATCAGTTCAGGAAAATATTATTTGATCTAAGTAGTTCTAGTAAGGGGATGTCTAAATGATATCGGTTCCTTTGTGATTCAAATAATTTTTTTAAATATTTTCTTTAATGATTCGATAAAAAAAAAAATTTGTGAAAAAGTAGACTTATTTAGATATTATTTTAGTAATATATATATATATATATATGTCTTAAATCGAATTATAAGTGTAGAATTTCTGTGTGTGTGTGTGTTGGTGATAAATTTATGATTCTGTCACTTTATATTTATTCTTCATGTTAAGATATCTCTCCTCCTCTCTTATCATAAAATTAAAGTTTGTGTTTTTACAAGAATCTTTTTGAGGAGAGCACCTCGGTTTGAGTAAACAATAAAAACTGCGTTAATCATTTCCTTTTCGCACAAATTAATGGCTCCGCTGCAGCCGCCATCTCATATTTTTCTACAAACCTCTCAATTTTAACAAATTTCTTCTTCATTAGTTTTAAAAGCGTTCAAAACTCATCTAAGTTTATTGCATATACATACACATATATATTACAAATATGTTTAAATGAGAGAATAAATACCCACCTCACATTTGACATTTGGCATTACAAGTTGCAAGAAAATTTAGATTAGCTTCAAAAAAAGATATGAATTGTTGTTAAAGAAGATATTTCTTCGTCCATTAATATTTTTTTAATTATATTTGTATTATCAATTTTTTTTTATCTGAAATATAAATAAATACTTCAATCTATTATTATTATTATTATGAGAATATGAATTTGAGTTTGTAAACTATATATATGTTATTGTTTGAATGTTATATTCCATATTTTATTATTAATCTATAATTACATTCTATTAAATTAATAATTATCACCGACATTAAAGTTGGTAAACCCACTTGCTTGAGTGCTGATTACTGTTTACACAACAAAACCACGTGGGTGGCTTTTCATGTTGAGACAGGTAATGCGGTTAATTAATTAATTTACGGCTTTACATTCTCTCTTAATCATAATATCATTTACCAATAATAATGATAATTTATGAATAATGCTTCGGTTAAACATAAATCTCAGCGTCAAATGACTGTGAATTCATTTAATTGATAATAAATAAAAAAAAAGAAATACCCTTTTATAATAATAGACAAAAAAGTAGTTTCTATTTATATACATAATTATAAATATTCAAAAAATGTTTACATACATATATAGTTTTGTTTACAAGTTATCATCTAGATCTAAATTCAACCAATAAAATGATAGTAAATCACGGCAAGATATTGTTGGTATCATAGTCCAAGAAAAATAATAAATATTAATATTTAAAAAATTATGAAAAGGAATATATAGGGTTAATTAATGGCTAAAATTAATTACCAAATATATATTAATATTTAAGGAATAATAGGGTACTTTGGCCATCATCACATGAACTAACATTATAATAATAATAATCTTGTTTTAGTGCCAAAAAGAAAAATACCAATAATTTGCTAGCAAGTAGCAAGGGCACTTAAAGACTAAGCAATGAGCATGATGCTCACCTTTTTAATTATATATATATATATATATATATATATATAGTATTTGTTTTTAGAAAATATTAAAATATTTGTAAATCTTGGGTATATGCTTTTTCAATCTCAAAGATACTTGGATTCAATTCTCTTTAATATATTTTTAGTTATTTCATATTATTATTAATTTCAACGAATTTCTTTGTTTTTATTTTAAAATTCCATTGTTTGAGGGAGTAAAGTATTCATTTCCGTGCTTATAGTCTTATATCTTCATTTCCCAATAAATGGCTTGCCATGTTATTTTCTAATTTTTAGTTTTTCCTTAAAAAAAAAAAAAAAAACAATTGATGACCTCTACAATTCACTGTATAAATATATATGTATATATACAACCTTTTTTATAAGTTTATATTTATTAGAAAAATTAATTTAATTATGTAATTACTATCAATTAAATTAAATCTGATAAATTAAGTGATTTGGTAATCAACCAAATTAAATATCACAAATCAAGTGATTGATTAGAATTAAAATATTTGATTGACTGCTAATTAAGATTGTACGCGTATATAGACCTCACATTTATTCAATAAAAATTGAGCATTATTTTTAATTTTATATGGTATCAGAGCTACCATGTTCCTAACATATTTCTTCCATTCTCCTTTTTTTCTTCTCTTGCAATTCTCCACATTCTTTTTCAACCATAATGGCTTCTGAAGACATCTCTACATCTCTACTGCTGATACCGTCACTCAAAATACATA